TGGTGTTCACTAGAAAGTTCATGAACTTCGAACAAGAATTCACAGAACTGTTCATGAGCTGAATCCTGGCATATTCACTCATCTATTGTTCTAACCTTTCATCACATTACGTAAAAGAGCTGTTGTATCTGCCATCGCTCCATTGGAGAGATTTCCCATCACTCCTTGTTCCTATGACCCCTATACAGGAAATGGTGACACCAGTCCTTTTAAACCTACTCTACCACTCTGTCAAAAAATGTTTTTGGCTGGAGTTAGGCTTTCATTTTTCTGTATTATTACTTTTAGAAATTTTTTTTTATAAATTAACTTGGTGTGTTTTACAAATCTCTCCTCAAGTGTCTGAACAGATTAGTGCAGCTGCTTGTGATCTGAGCAACACTCACCTGCTCCACCCGAATTTCATACTCCTTGTTCACTTTCTTGCTTCTGAAATACTTGGCCCTGCCGGGAAGGAAACGACAGATAAACATTAGCCTGGCTTCCTTGTCCTGTTGAAGTCATGTTACTTGCCAACGTAGTGATAGATTACAGAGAAATGTTATGTAACTGCAGGTTTAAAGGGGACCATTTTATATTCCAGAATGTGCCTCTACATCAGATGTAAGGATAACAGCTGGGCAAATGTGACAGCTTGTTTCCTTCTCCCCATCATGCCAGGCTTTCAATTCAGCAGCTGGCTGTCTTTTAAAGTAAAAAACAAAACTAATGGAAAAAGCCAAGAAAAAAATGTTTTCTTCTATAAATCTATCACTCATTTTGTTAAAAGGTCTGCAAGAATGCAAGTCCTTCAAAAATGTACTGTATATATTAAACATTGGATCCGCCAGATAAAAAGATGACATTGTAAAAAATTATCTGCATTAGTTTTGATGTATAAGGCCCAGCCCTATCTTCTTTATGTTCATGACTGCAAATTGTCATTGAGACTAGGGTTGCCATCTCACCCCTTCAAAAACAAACACATATTAATTACACAGGTTCTGAGGCTAATTTAATGTAGATAAGGCACTAAGTTTAATTGCCATCTTAAGCAGCCACAGAACTTGTGTAATTAATATGTGTTTGGTTTTAAAGGGATGAAGTGGCAACCCTAATTGAGACAATACCGAATTGATAAGACAGCCCATACTTCCTGATGACAGCAATCTTCATACCTAGGTCTTTCTAGGTAAAGTCTTACAAAACTTCAGAGGCAATAAGAGAAAGGTATTATGACGAACAAGATGTGTCCACTACAGGGGATTCAGTTTGCATAGAGGGACAACTAAAATGTGGAAGGATTGTTTAATCAGATGACATAATAATTCAATGTCTAGGACAAAGCACATGAAGTCCCATAAAAGCATTGGCAGGGTACAACACAATCAAGGAGATTAGAAAGCCTTGCACAATTACAACTATTGGGACATTTTTTTACCTAATGCAGAGAATGCATTAGGGTAAACAAGTCATACTCATAGCATACACTTTCACTTTATAACATCAGCATTGTAATAACAATACAAACAAATAGATATTTTTGGGGGTCAAACCATTACTTGCAGAACTCTTCTTTATGCTGAAGATAGTTCTTAATGAAATTCGGTGTATGTTTGAGGTTGTTGTCCTGCTTAAGAATACATTTTCATCCAATCACATACCTCCCTGATGGTATGGCATGATGAATCTGCCTGTATTTCGCAGCATTGAGGACACCACTGATTGGGCAACGTTGAGGACGCAGATAGATGCAGATAGATGCAGTGGTCGGCCAAGGAAACTTAATGCAGCAGAAGAAATACACATCATGCCTACTTCCCTTTAAAGATGTCCAGCAGTGCCATCAGCACAGAACTGGCGGAAAACCAGTGAGACCCTGGTACACCCATCTACTGTCCAGAGAAGTCTGTCCAGAAGTGGTCTTCATGGGCAAATTAAAGCCAAAAAGCCATACTTCCAACATGGAAACAAGGCTTAGTGACTGAACTATGTTTGAAAACAGAAACTGGGGTACTGAAAAATGGCAGCAGGTGCTCTGCACTGATCAGTTAAAATGTGAAAAATTTGGCAGTAGCAGGAGACAGTTTGTTCATTGGAGGACTGAAGAGTGGTACGATAATGAGTGTCTGTAGGCAACAGTGAAGGATGGTGAAGGTTCCATGCAAGTTTGGGGCTAAATTTCTGCAAACGGAGTTGGAGATTTGGTGTCCTCAATGACGAAAAATACAGGCAGATGATTATCCATTGTGCCATGTCTTCAGGGAGGTGTGTGATTGGCCCCAAAATTATTCTGTAGCAAGGCAATGACCCCAAACATGCAACCAATGTTATTAAGAACTATCGTCCGCCTAAAGAAGAACAAGGAGTCCTGGAAGTGATGGTTTCCCCCTTATAGAGCCCTGATCTCAATATTATGGAGTCTGTCTGGGATTACATGATGATACAGAAATATATGAGGCAGCCTATATCCACAGATGATCAGTGGTTAGTTTGGAACAATCTACGTGCACTGCGTGCAAGTGTACCTAGAATTATTGTTGCTGTTTTGAATGCAAAGGGTGTTCACACCAAATACTGATTTGATTTGGATTTCTCTTCTGTTCATTTAATTTCCATTTTGTTGATTGATAAAAAATAAACTATTAACACTTCTATTTCTGAAAGCTTTCTTAATTTACAGTATTTTTTCACAACTGCCTAAAACTTTTGTAGGGTATCGTATATATATATACTGTATATATCATTTTTTTTCTTAATTTTGTATTTTTTTCTTTTTGCCTTGACATACATTTAATGATGTATGAATGATCACAGACCTGAATTATTATGTGTCTTTTATATCTGTATGGAGTTCAGCTTTAAGCTGGTCACATTCCCACACATAATTAGAACGAGAACAAAAACACGTATTTCCTTTAATCAAATACATTTTTCATATAAAATCACTGAATGGAGACGTCTGTGGTACATGAGATGAATTTCTCTCTGGTGCAACTAACAAAAAGAAATTCCGCCATGGGAATAAAAAAGATTCTTTTTCTTTTGTACATGGACTTATTTTGGCCGGAGATTCTGTGATCCCTCAGTGTGGAGGCTGCTGTGTATGTAGATCATGTCCGTCCGCCTCACCAAGCACCGTTTGTGGGAACGATTCGGAGATACAACACGTCTGGCTGATGTCTGCGCTGCAATAATGACCGGGGACAGAGGAGAGTGTCACCCACTGCGAGCATCCCCCCGGTATCAGCAGCCGGAGGATCCGGGGGGACAAGGCACTACTGTATGAAGGCTTTGTGTGCAGATAAAGGGTGTCAGACAGCAGCGAGAGGCGCACTGCCTGGGAGATGGCGAGCAAAGATGGAAGAATGTTCTGCAGCCATCTCGACCGCTCTGTAGGTCAGAGGCATTGCATAGCGACACCGTTCATAACAGATTCGGCCTTTCTTCTCATCTGTGGTCGCTAAAGATCACCTACAAGTGTTGTTTACATCACAAACAAATCCTAATCCTAGATCTCCACATTATCTCCATTACAATTGTGAAATGTGAGAGGGGCTTATTTCAAATTTCACATCCCAGATTACTGAGATGGAAAAGAGAGACGACTTTTCACACAAGTAGATTTGAGCCAGAGAGGTGGTCATGGCAAAAGACACAGATCTGGTTCAGTTACAGCAGCTTCCCTTGGTCAGTGTCAGCAAAGAAAGGGTGTTACAAAAATACAAACTGTTTAAAGCCCAACTGAACTCTCGGTTTAAATTGGCTAAATACATTCCAGGTGTATCAAACAAAAGGTGCTCAAAGTCTTATAGTTTGTATTGTTCAGAATCCAGCCACAGCCTGAGTAAAAAGGCATGTGCTACAGAAAAAGATCTTTGCTCACTGTGTGGAAGCAGTGGTCTCTCTGCAGAGGTCCAACACATCCCTTCTGAGTCAGGGTCGCTCCAAACATACATTTGGCTCTAACTCTGGCTCTAACTCAGCAGGAGGCATAATGAACTTCTGCAAAGAGACCACTGCAAAGGGACTTCCGCTGCATCATGTTAGCAGGCTGTGGCTGTTTTTCTTTTTTTTTACTCGTGCTGTGGCTGTTTTTTTTTTTTTTTTTTACAAACTGTAGGACCTTGCACACCTTATATGGCAGATGAAATGTTTTAGCCAATTTAAACTGAGGTCAGTTGGGTTTTAAAGTATCATATTTATGGCACAATGTATCAAAACCATTCACTATTAAAACAAAATATCTATGCGTCTTGTAAAGCCCTAACATTTATTTGGGTTGATATAAAGTAAGCCTAGCATTAGATATATCATGTCATGCTGAGTGCCTTCTAAGTATAATGTGCTAGTGTAACACTCCAAAGAGGAGACTGAGGAAATGCTTTCTGCAGCCGACTGATTATCATCTTGGCCTAAGCCAGTGTTTCTCAACTCCAGTCCTCATGGACCCCCAACAGGTCATGTTTTCAGGATTTCTATTATTTTGCACAGGTGATTTGATCAGTTTCACTGCCTTAGTAATTACCACAGCTGTTTCATCTGAGGGAAATCCTGAAAACATGACCTGTTGGGGGTCCATGAGGACTGGAGTTGAGAAACACTGGCCTAAGCAAAGTCACTGGACTGGAGCTCAGGAATAAAAGTTGGAGATTTTCAGAGAAATGGTGCAGTTCTATACATGACTTTTTTTCCAGTGGGAATGTGGGGAAAGCAGTTACGGCACCTCCAGTACTGAATGGGTTGTGCTGGAGGGTATATTGATGCGGGCTGCAGGGGGATCTATTATTGCTGAGGAGGTCTATTGCTGTTGGGGGATCTTATGTCACTAGGTATTCAATTGTTGTTGGGGGATCTACTGCTAAGGGAGGGGACTCTCCTTGTTGGCTGCTGGAGGGTCTATTGGTGCTGACTGCTTGGAGATCTACTGTACTGTTGCTGGTGAGGGTCTATTGTTGCTGGGGGATCTATTATTTTTTCAGGATTTTTTGTTGCAAGGGGGTCTATTGTTGCTGGGGGTATCTGTTGCTACTGACTGCAGGCGATTCTGCTTGGAGGGGTGTAGGGGGGGCAGAGACAAGGGATGACTTGAAAGTGGGGTGTACCCAGGGGCGGACTGACCATTCGAGCACTCAGGCACTGCCCGAGGGCCCGGGGTCAGTGGGGGGCCCCATGAAATGCCCCTGGTACCTTTTTTATAGGCTTTTTTGAGTGTGGGCAAGGACACAAGGGCCCCATAATCCCCTATTGCCCGGGGACCCCATGAGTTGTCAGTCCGCCCCTGGGTGTACTTGCACCTATTCTATTTTTAAATAAGCCCTGGTTATATAGAGCAGGGGTCTCCAAACTTTTTAAACAAACGGCCAGTTTACTGTCCTTCAGGATTTTGGGGGGTCGGACTGTGGCCAGTGTGAGTAGAAAATGTCATGGCATCAGTGGGAGTAAACATGGCCCCATCATTGGTTAAACTGGAGGAATAGTGCCCCATTGTTGGTATCAGTGGGAGGAATAGTGCCTCATTGACGGTGTCAGTGGGAGTAGTGTCCCATCATTGGTTTTAGCAGGAGGAATAGTGCCCCATGGTTGGTATCAATGGGAGGAATAGTGCCTCATCTATGGTTTCAGTGGGAGGAGTACTGCCCCATCATTGGTCTTAGCAGGAGGAATAGTGCCTCATTGATGGTGTCAGTGGGAGGAATGGTGCCTCATCATTGGTGTCAGTTGGAGGAATAGTGTCCCAAGGGCCGGATAGAGTCAAGCAAAGGGCCGCAACTGGCCCCCAGGCCGTAGTTTGGAGACCACTGATATAGAGTGACATGCAAGGGACATACAGTATTTATGCAGCTTTGTAAATCACTGTTAGGTCCACTTTACACACATTGGTGTTTTTTTACAATTATTTTGCCGTACATTATAATTAAAACATTTGCACTTAGATGATGAGTATGTAAAGCACTATAAACATTTTAGTAGCAATATAGTACAATTATTTAACCCTTTTTCTGACACCAATGTATGCCATATGTTGGTGGTAAAGTAGGGTTTTACACACACTCCTGGCTGCTACAGTGTATAAAGCCAACTGCAGGATTTCAGGTAAAAGTGACCTTGCACCTGTATAGCCACGCAATCACTTCAAAAGGTCCACTGTACATTGGCCCCCATCATGTTTCCTTGGTTCCGCCATCCCATCTGAGGACCCATGCCCTGTATTGTGGGTGCCACCAGGTAGAGGGGAGGGAAACCAATAAGTATTCATTTATCTCTGCTAGATAGTAAGAACCCTGAAGCAACAGGGATTGTGTCACTTCTGGTTTCTGTTGTCACTTTCCCTGTCTGCTGTTGCTGGGGAAGAAGGTAATGGCACACCATCTACATTAGCTTCAGCGGAGTGCAGAAGACACATGGCGGAGTGATAGCAAGAATCCTAGGGCCATTTTTAATGATTAACTGTAAATGAATGACTTGTAGTGGCTTTTAAAGTGTCTGTTATGGACACATTTGAGTACTGAAGTTTGTTGTTTTCTGGGCACACAAATTTTTGGGTATCTATTTATTTAACACAAATAAATCTTTTATATTTTACAAAATAAAAAATGGGTAATATACTGCGTTAGTGTATTTTATACTGAAAATTTGTGCTTGATAAACCATTGCTCTAATATCATGTGACAGAAAATTGGAACTACCATCACTTTATCCTCCATGGTCTCTGTTTTCAAAAAATATATAATATTTTGCGGTTTTACCCAATCTTCAGGCACAAATCAATTTTATTTTATTGTGTGTGCAAAAAAAAAAAAAAGCCAGTTGTGAAATGGTTAAAGCCCCACATCAAACATAAAAGATGGGCAACTTAGGAAGAGGAATTCCAAAATAAGTACAGCTCATTCAAATTAGAACAATTAAATGACAAATTATGTTTCTATTTTATTTAGGTGTACTTAGCATCTGTCCACCACAATACATTTTTTATTCATACTATTCTGATTTGCTATTGTCTTCCAGATTTGCATTTTGCAGCTACTTTAATAAATCATGACCATACTGTATGACTCTCCAATGAAAACTCCACCATGCCAGTGAACTGCCTAAAATATTATCTAGTACAATGCTGCCCTCTAGTGCTATGAACTTCCATCACACCGGTTCTCTCACTGCACAGACTAGGTCATAAGGAACCATTGGTACTGATTCAACAAGATTCACTGGATTTAAAGCTAGATAATAAGTGCACTATGATAAAAAAATAAAAGTAGCATGTAAAGAAAATAATTATTCTCATTTATTCTGCTACATGCCCAGCCAATCTCTTTTGAAAGCTATGCCCCCCAAAGAATCTTCAGCATCCAACATTTCCAGGAGGGTTGGAGGCTTGGTTCCCCTCTGCAGTCTCTGAAACCACATCGCTCAGTTGGGGACCAGACATGATGACACACCCAGAAGTGGTGGATCCAGAAGTATCAACCAACGTTAAAGTGATTGTATGGGCAGTGAGACAGGTGAGTATATACTGTATATTCTTTACTTTACAGAGGGACTATTTTAACTGTAGATTTGCTTTAAGGTATGCTTGACATATGATAATACTGAATCACATGCCTTAAGCACACTGAAGCACAAAATATCCTAACATTAATGAAAGGAAAGGGAGAGGTGAAGCCCTGTTGCATGTGACAGAAAATGAAAAATGACGGGTCCTGGCATAGGGGTAGGGTGTCATTATACTGGATGCCAGAATGTGGTGCAGTGCTGGAATACACGACATGAAGTATGTACCTGCGAATGGAAGCTGCACCATCAGTACATTTGTATGCCTCGCAAAAAGGGAGAACTTTTAGCCCTTGTTCACATCTATTTCCGCTGTCATGCATTTTTCCTTGTGTGTGTGTGTTCTTTTTTTTATGTTCAGTTTTGTGCGTTAAAGTTTGTTTTACATGTGTTTTTATGCGTTTTTGGTTTTAACCAATAAAAATGATTTTCCTCCAATGACGCAAACGCATATACAGTAAATGTATCTAACATTGGACATGCCTTATTTTTAACAACGCAGAACAATGCAGCATGCATATGTGAACAGCCTCATTGGACTCTAATTGGAATTAGATGGAATTGGATGTATTTTTGTGACACGTGTTTGTATGCATTACAAAACAGAACTGAAAACAAAAGGAAAAGCTGTGACCAAGGCCTTAGCGCAAAGTATGTAGGCAAAGGACACACCCCCAGCTCCATGGTCTATAAAGAATTAATGATAAAAAAAAAATTAGTGGTTAAACACACAAGTATTTTTGAATCACAACTTTTTATAATAACTTTTGAAATCATCAAATTCAACAGTTTTGAGGATGCATGAAATGTTCCATTTTTTTTTATGAAGGCCTGTACATCATACCAAAAAGAGGGAGGGGGTTGGCTTTTTAGCTGCAATAAAGCAGTAGACTGCAAACTGCGGCCCATGGGATGGATGCGGCCCTTTGCTTCTCTTTATCTGGCCCTGGGGGCGCTATCCCTCTCACTGATACAAGGCACTATTTCTACCACTGACACTAATGATGGGACACCATTCTTTCCACTGACACCAACAGTGGGATACTATTCCTCCCACTGACACCAATCATTGGACACCATTCCTTTCACTGATACCATTGATGGGACACCATTCCTTCCACTGACACTAACAGTGGGACACTATTCCTCCCACTGACACCAATGATTGGACACCATTCCTTCCACTGACACCATTTATGGGACACCATTCCTTTCACTAACACCAACAGTGGGAGACTATTCCTCCCACTGATATCAATGATTGGACACCATTCCTTCCACTGACACCAACAGTGGTACATTATTCCTCCCACTGACACCAATGATGGGACACTATTCCACTGACACCAATGATGGGGCACTGTGCCTCTCACTGACGCCAATAATGGAGCACTATTCCTCCCACTGACACCAGTGATTGGACACCATTTCTTCCACTGACCCAGCAATGAGACATCATTCCTTCCAATGACACCAACCCAATGATAAGGCATTACTCCTACTGACTACAAGTGCTATGTAGTTTATTTACTCCCACTGACCACCAAGACTGAAATCTTGTCTACGCCCACTGATGCTGAGGCATTTATTACTCCCAGTGGTCACAATCCCCCCTAAAGCATGAAGGACAGTAAACTGGCCCTTTGTTTAGAAAATGTGGAGACCCCTGCCATAGAGGGACATGCACTCCAATTGAGAGATAGTTGGGTGGTATGCAATGTAGGTGGAAGTCAAAGTTTTGTACATAAATATAACTCTACTGTAGTCATAAATCTAAAACATTGGTTTTGGGCTCTGGTACCATTGCAGCCCACCGGCCCTCTGCATGTGCCCCTTGGGCTATTGGGCATCATGTAGAAAGCAGAGTGGCACCAAGGTGCCGGGCACTGGAACACACTAAAGGAAAGTGCCAAAGTTATCTCCACCCACAGTACAAGTAAAGTGCGACATGGAGAAATGAAAGTGGATGGAGAGTCAGCATGAGAGGAGCGGGTCAGAAAAGGGTTAAATAACGTTAGTTCAGTGCGGAAGAGGCATAGATCTTACATGATTGGAGGATGAAGGTCAGATGGGCAGGGTGAAACCGCAATGGTAGTTCATGTGAGGAATGCTGGGTTGTCATTCCAGAAAGGTCAGGCAAAAAGGAAACTTTACCACCCTCCCATTCTGTCTTTGAGGCTCATGGAAAGTCCAGGATTTTGGGGAGGTTGTGTTGTAAAGAACATGTATAAATTTAATTAAGATACTGTATACCACAAAAAAAGTCACAGCAGTTTGGTGGATCAGGGGGGTCTTTGGAGGGGGGGGTCAGTGAATTTTTGTAATGATACAAATCTGTGGGGCCATCTAGGGTATGGTGTTCGAACTTGGCTGGTTATTGGTGGTTCTCTAAGGAGCTAAGTCCCCTGGAGGAAAATGGAACAATGTGTGGGTTTGCAACATCTTTGAGGAGGTTTGAGCACAGCTGAGGACATGGGCAAATTGTGCCTTTAAGAACACCTAAAGACCCTCTCCTGGTTGCATTGTTGGCATTGTTTATTGACATGTTAATATGATGTAATTTATTTGATTTTTTAATAAATGGCTGTTGTGGCCATTTAAACCCATGTCATGCAGTCTGTGTTATTATTTAAGGGTTGGTAAAAGGACCAAGGTTGACAAATCCTTTAGTGATATCCCAACCTGGGGAGAGAGAGAACAGCATTGGAGCTGTGATAGGTAAGTGATCACAAATAGGGGCTAACGTTCAGTGTGGTGGACTATTATTGCACCCATTGACACCAATGTGGGAGTTAATATTGTATCCACTGACACTAATGTTGTGGGCTATTATTGTGTCCACTGACATCAATGTTGGGGGTTATTATTGCATTTGCTGACACCACTGTTGGGGGTTATTATTGTGTCCACTGACACCAATGCTGGGGACTATTATTGTGTCCAATGACAACAATATTGGGGGTTATTATTGCGAGATTACCAATAGGGGGATCGGGGCTAACATTCAGTGCGTGTGGGGGCTATTACTGTATCCACTAACACCCATGTTGGTGGTTATTTTTACATCCACTGACACCATTGCTGTGGACTATTATTTTGTCAATCATTGTGTTATTATTGTGTCCACTGACATCAATGCTGGGGGTTATTATTGCATCCTCTGACACCAATGCTGGGGTTATTATTGCATCTACTGACATCAATGCTGGAGACTATTATTGAATCAAATTACACCAATGTAGTTTTTTTTTTTAATTGCATCCACTGATACCAGTGTTGGGAGTTGTTATTGTGTCCACTAACACCAATTTGGGGGTTATTATTGCATCCACTGACACCAATGCTTGGGGTTATTATTGCACTCAATGATGAATAACCCCAATGCTGGGGTTATTGTATTCCAATATGTTCTGTGTGCCTCGCAATACACTGCAAAAAATGCAGCAGGACAAAAGGTTTTGGGTTCTGAGGAGCAAAAATGTGCAGCTATTGTGAGGCCTTTTTGAGGTTACAGGAACTGCACTTGAAGCCCTCTATAATTTTCAAGTTGACCACCACTTACTTTAGGGTCAGTTTGATCTCGTACTTAATGTATAGCCAATTAATGTAATCTCAGAATGGTTTCAAGCAAGTCAATCTCCTTACCAATCTGTGTGTGCATCATCAATCACCAGGAGAATCTTGGGTTTTAGAACCACAGGAGGTGGCGGAGGTCCAGTTTGCTCTACCAGGCCTGCAGCAGCCTGCGTGGTCTGCTTCACTGCATTGGTGATAGAACTGAAGAGGCTGGAACCTGGTGCAGAAGTAGAAGATGGAACCTGGGCAGGTTGCTGTTGTTTCCTCTCCATGGCCGGCGACACCGGGGAACTCGTGGAATTGTCTGGCCGTTGAAGGTCCATCATGTAGCCATTGGGAAGGTTGGCCACAAAGCTGCTGTCAGAGAGACGTCTGCGTAGGAAATTCATGGCTCTGGCTTAGTGATGAAAATTAGAGGCCCTAAGAGTTTCTTCTGTGTGAGGGTCAGCAGACAGACTTTTCCAGTTGGGTTCCCAAACTCTCTCAGTCTTTGAGCTGTAGAGAAAATAAAGAGGTTGTGTCAGCTAAACCATATCACTGCATTGAAAGCAGGGAAGCAAAACAGAGAATTATTCATAAAAGTTGAGATAGTGAGCAATCTACGTCAACACATGATGGAACCCAGACTGAGCAGACATGAAAGCAGCAATTACCCATGGCCAGTATTATCTTATCTGGTTGTGCAAGCTTAAAAATATATTCTGTAGTCTAATCACAATCTCAGAACTTTTTTGGAACCTAAAAATTGCAGACAAAAATATAACCTTTTCTCTACTTTAAAATTCAGCTAAACCAAGAATATATATTACCTTTTATAGAATTACTACCAACCTTCAGTATATATACTGTAAGTTCTCATAGCTACATATAGTTTAATGTATTTATTTTTTTTTTATGTTTGGTAGACATTGCTCTCTGAAATTGTACACTGATATCCCAGTGCACCCAAAGATCACAATGCAGTACAATGAAAAGTATAATATTGGATAGAGTGTCTGTAATTGAGAGCAAAAGGTATCAAATTCATTCACAATTCGCACATATTTTGAAAGTTCCTTAAAACACTCAGATGGGATTTATCATCAGAAGATCATTCCAACAACTAGCTTAGAGATGTTACAATCATGTAAATCCTGGTGCCTGTGCAGTTCTTGGCTGTGTTCTCAAACGCATCACACAGATTAGCCCTGCTGTAACCTCTCACTTTCTACATAATCAAAAAGTACAGTCTGTCCACTGGATGGTTGATGAGGAAGTTGCATGATTTCTCAGTCAGGATCAATAGCACCACTATCAACCCATCCCCGCATGCCAGGGTGCTAGGGGTAACCCTGGATTCTGAACAATCCTTTCAGGCCCACCTCCAATCCATGGCCAAATCATGCCACCTCAACCTCCGCAACATCTCTAGAATACGCCCCTTTTTAACCAATGATACCACAAAGCTCCTAATTCACTCCCTGTTTATCTCTTGCCTCGACTACTGCAACTCCCTCCTCATTGGCTTACCTTTACATAGGCTATCCCCCTCCAGTCCATCATGAATGCTGCTGCCAGGCTCATCCACCTTACCAACTATTCAGTGTCTGCTACCCCCCTCTGCCAATCCCTCCACTGGCTTCCACTCGCCCAACGAATAAAATTCAAAATACTAACAACAACTTACAAAGCCATCCACAACTCTGCCCCCAGCTACATCACCAATCTGGTTTCAAAATATCAAGCAAACCACTTTTGATCCTCCCAAGACCTTCTGCTCTTTAGGTCCCGTGTCACCTCCTCCCATGCTCGCCTCCAGGACTTCTCCCGAACTTCTCCCATCCTATGGAACTCCCTACCCTAATCTGTCCGGCTATCTCCTAATCTATCCACCTTTAGACAATCCTTTAAAACCTCTCTTTAAAGAAGCCTATCCTGCTTCTAACTAGTAAACTGCCTTTATTTTCTCCATCACCCCACCCCCCCCACAGCTATTAGCTTTTGTATCACTCAACCCTTCCTCCTAGATTGTAAGCTCTAACGAGCAGGGCCCTCTGTTTCCTCTTGTACCAAATTGTATTGTAACTGTAATGTCTACCTTCATTTTGTAAACGCTGCGCAAACTGTTAGCGTTATATAAATCCTGTATAATAATAATAATAATATTACCTATTTCCTTATTAATGCTGACCCCACACAAATATCTAATAAAGCCTCTAATATCCTGGTTATTCTGGTTACCATAGCTGACTATAGGAATTTCATTGTAAGCTGACTATATTGACAAGTCAGCCCACTAATCTCCTTTCAGGAATGTGTGATTACAAACTGACCAAGTCCTTAAAAGGTCATATTGCTTGCAAGGAGATTTGACCATTTCCTTACATTCAAGTCCTATAGCACAACCATAACTTGTAAGTCTCAGACTCGTCTTCAGAGCTTGCAACCATACATGCATCTGAAACTGGTCGGCCATGCTGTGAAAAGCAGGTGGGGACTCTATGGCGAAACAGCATCTTTAGCAGGGGCAGACTGACAACTCATAGGGCAATAGGGGATCATGGGGCCCCTGTGTACTCGCCCAAACTCAAAAAAGCCTATGAAAAAGGTACCAGGGGCATCTCATGGGGCCCCCTACTGACCCCGGGCCCTCAGGCAGTGCCGCCCCTGATCTTTAGTTAAGTATTCTTGTTACATTTTCTAATATTTCTTATCTTTATCTGTCATTACTTGTATTAAATGCAATACTTATAAGTATTTGTGTGATCTCTCTTTGCACATGTCAAAAACAACCCCAAAAATGTAACAACACAATGGTGACTGAGGAAATGCTGGATTGCATGTTAGTTTTGTACCATGTGACCTGGTGTGGGCAAGCACACTGTGTGTGACCTGCATTTGGGGCGTCCTTAACTTTGCACTGACAACCATTGTAGATTGCACCAGCAGTGTGAATTGAATGCAGTGAAGAAAACCGGCACGGAATCCGGGTTTCCTGAACCATGTTCTAGTGTGAACAGGCCTTTAAACTTACTGAAAGCATGGATGGGCACACAAGTTTCTTTTTCTTAGTTCTAGATTATAGCATGGGGAAGGGTTAGAATTCCTGTTGGGTTTTTACCACTTTCCAGCACTCATGTCCTGCTGACAATGTTTTACCAGGCAGGAAGTGAGGGGAACTTTTCAACAGCAACGCAGACAGTAGTAAAAACATTTTTTTTTTTTGTAGTAAAAATTTTTTTTTTTTGGAACCCCTTTCAGAGTTGTATTTCTGTCGGTGTCGCTGTTGAAGATTTTCTTTCACTTCTTGTCTGGTAGAACCATAATCACTGGTACAGGAAGTGAAGGGAAATCTCTCAAACACAGCAGCGGGAAGCAGCAAACACCATACAGGACTTCTGATCCTTTTCAGCTCCGTCTAAACCTAGAACAATTGTATTCTGGCTGATTTACACTTTAATAAGGGAATAGCATGTTCACTTAGTTTGGTGAGGCTGTATTACTTTGTAATGTTTCCCTGCCTTGACAAAGAACAAGTTAACGTTAAGGCTAGGTTCACATATGTGCAGGTGGTGCCGCTTTGGATCCGCACAAAAATCCGTGCAGCCGCACCACCCCCACACAGAAGAATGCGGACCCGCGGGTGGGTGCCATTAATTCTAATGGCACGATGCCCGCACTGGAAATCGCAGCCGTACTGGGAACCGAGGTTCCCATGTGGGCTGCGTTTTCAGAAGAAGTGCAGAGACTTCTTCCCTGCGTGTCCCATGGCATGGGAGTCCATTCAAATGAATGAGCTCTCATGCCCGCACAAAACACGAACCGCAGGAACGCACATAAGTGAACCAGGGCTGATGCTAGGTTCACATATGTGCGGGTGGTGCTGTTGTGGATCTGCACAAAAATCCGTGCAGCCGCACCACCCACACAGAAGAATGCGGACCCGCGGGTGGGTGCCATTAATTCTAATGGCACGATGCCCGCACTGGAAATCGCAGCCGTACTGGGAACCGAGGTTCCCATGTGGGCTGCGTTTTCAGAAGAAGTGCAGAGACTTCTTCCCTGTGTGTCCCGTGGCATGGGAGTCCATTCAAATGAATGAGCTCTCATGCCCGCACGAAACACGGACCGCAGGAATGCACATAAGTGAACCAGGGCTGATGCTAGGTTCACATATGTGCGGGTGGTGTTGTTGTGGAGCCACACAAAAATCCGTGCTGCCGCACCACCCGCACAGAAGAATGCGGACCCGCGGGTGGGTGCCATTAGTTCTAATGGCACGCTGGGAATCACAACCGTACTGGGAACCGATGTTCCCGTGTGGGCTGCGTTTTCAGAAGAAGTGCAGGGACCTCTTCTCTGCGTGTCCCGGGGCAAATGAATCGACTCTCGTGCCCGCGCAAAACGTGGATCGCAGGAACACACATATGTGAACCAGGGCTGAAGTGTTACTAAACCCAGGACCCTGCATTCACTATATCTGGACCCCCACAGTACACAGAACATGGAAATGCAATTATTTTTGGAAATCTAAACTGCTAAATACCTTTTCTCATCAGCAGTATATAGCAGTCTTGTGACTTCTATCAGAGTCCAGCAAATCACTAGTTAAAGCTTGTAGTAGGAGTTTTATTTCTGCTCTAGGAGGATGCAAAACCTCTGACCTTCTGTCTGGACAGTGCTGATTGGCCCTGTGCTGATCACATGCACCCTCCCAAGAAAAAAAAAAAAAACCTCTCTAGAGCAATACACACTAAACTGAGCATGTGCAGAATGGCTATGGTTCAGTCTGTCTTATCAGGTGGACATCTAAACAAGAGGAGGGACAGAGAAGTCAGGATCAAATTGCCTTTTCACACAATTCAGAGGATTAACTCCTTAGATTCCACAGTGAGTATATCAAGCATGCTTTACTGCATATACAGACTGATTTTACTGTTCTGGGTTTAGTAACACGTTAAGTAGCGGAGTAAGATAAGCAGGCCCCGGAACCTGCACTTTTATACAAAATCAGGATGGGTGCCCTTTAAACGTAATTCACACCTTTAGGCGGCAACAGATAGCAAATCTGTGAAAGCTCCTTTCATGTGATGTATGTTTATCCCCTGTGCCAGGCTCCTGACAGAGGGTCTTTAGTGGAAGCTGGGCGTCATTACTAACATTTCCTGAGCCGGGAATTAGTTACAGAGAATAACACTCCTCCCACGCTAAGCTAACATTACACGGAATCAAAAACTGGATTACATTAAAGTCAGCATTTCTGTTCCATCCTGATAGCGGATGTGACATTTGTCTGTTCGTAGATGGTGCGCTCACTGCTTATTATCAGAACTCTGTATTCTTTATTTGCATCTCCGGATCATTTATGTCTCTAAGGGCCCATTTACGCCTTGTGTTAATGCAACATGCCAAAAATTACACATGACCCCTCTTTTTTCTAAGGCAAGGCAGGACAATGCACTACCATGTGTTACCATGTATTGTAGTGTGCTACGATGCAGCTGTGTTAGTGCAGTGATGGCGAACCTTTTTGAGACTGAGTGCCTAAACTGCAACCCAAAACCCACTTATTTATTGCAAAGTGCCAACTCTGCAAACCTGGATACTGAGGCTTTAGTTTAGAAAAAACAACCCATACATTAACATCTTTTGTCGTAAAAGAAAAACACAATAATAGAGCTTCCACTGACCACCAGCACAAGGAGGAAAAGATCTACTGACCACCAGCAGAAGGGGGCAAAGTTCAACTGACCACCAGCACAAGGGTGCAAAGTTCCAATTACCACCAGCACAAGTGGGCAAAGTTCCACTGATCACCAGCACAAGGGGGCAAAGTTCCACTGACAACCAGCACAAGGGGGCAAAGTTCCACTGACCACAAGCACAAGGGAGCAAAGTTCCACTGACCACAAGCACAAGGGAGCAAAGTTCCACTGACCACCAGCATAAGGGGGCAATGTTCCACTGACCACCAGCACAAGGGGGCAAAGTTCCACTGACCACCAGCACAAGGGGGCAAGGTTCCACTGACCACCAGCACAAGGGGGCAAAGTTCCACTGACCACCAGCACAAGGGGGCAAAGTTCCACTGACCACCAGCACAAGGGGGCAAAATTCCACTGACCACCAGCACAAGGGGGCAAAGTTCCAATTACCACCAGCACAAGGGGGCAAAATTCCACTGACCACCAGCACAAAGGGGCAAAGTTCCACTTTTCCAAGGTTTCCACTTTGGACAGAGAAGAGAGACGAATTAGATCACCTGTCAGGTTTTATTGCTGTCTGTGCCCCCATTAAGTTCACGATACTCGTCAGCTTATCCTTATCAAGGACACAATACACTTGTGACTGTTCTTGTGGACCACTTACACTGCTTTTATATCGTTGGTTTGTGAGTATACATCCATTTGTCTTTTCAATAAACACGTGGCATACCACGCTAATGCACGATAAGAGTGTGCCCCTTGTCTGTTCTTTTTCGACAGTGGGCAGATTTCCCGATCTTTGAAGGGCAGCACCTCTTTGTCTGGCATCCTGATATTTTTTAAGTCTGCATGAGGGTTGGAGTGCCAGTTTCGTTTGTCTGAGATTTTTCCCTCCGTGTTGAATCATACAATCCATGGATTTCTGCATTGTGCGATTCTCCACAGATTAGACCCATCTGCATGGCAGGATTCATATCATTGACCGAAAGCACTGAAGGAAAGGTTCTTTAGAAAATACCTAATAGTAATAAATATATGTCATAAACAAGGTGTGTGGAAATTACCCGGAAACATTTTCTTATTGTAAATCATACAAACAGATGGAGCCGATTTACTAAAACTGGAGAGTGCAACATCTGGTGCAGCTGTGCATAGAAACCAATCAGCTTCCAGGTTTTATTGTCAATGTTTCATTAAACAAGTTAGAAGCTGATTGGCTACTATGCCAGATTTTGCATGCTCCAGTTTTAGTAAATCAACCCCATTGTATTCGTTTCTATTTATAGACGTGATGTAAAAACAGTATCTGTCATTTACGGGATCAGTTTCCTTATTGACCTGTAGGTGGCGATATAATAGCAATGTAGTTACAATACTGTATAATGCCTGTGGCTTCCTATACACCCCTCTGTATGTTGGCTATATCTATTCCATGGGAAGGAAAACCATCCACGCTGCACTGCATTACAAACATTTTGGTATTTCACCAAACTGTTGCTTTTAAAGATGTCTAGTGCAGTGGTGTATTTAGGTGCAACCCCCAACCCCGCAGAAAGAGCCTGACATTGACCAAGAACACCCCTGCATTCCACCCGGACCTTCCACTACCACTGCCCTCCATATACCAGCCACCATCCCCCTTGGAGAGAGAGAGAAAGACACTCACCTTCACAGCTCCGGACATCCCCAGGAACAAGAGTCGGGCTGTGCATACACCATCATGAAACCCACAGCATCTCCCAGAACCCACCAGGTCCCCATGCTACGTGTGTCCTTTCTTCCGTACCTTCTTCCAAGGGGCAGTGCTGCCTCCCCTGAAAAATGCCGCCCTAGGCAAATGCCTTGTTTGACTTGTGGTAAATACACTCCTGGTCAGCTTATCTGTTTACATATCATTTTTCTTTTGTTCCAATAGAGATATTAGTAGTGTCCAAACTTCAGTTACACCTGCCTGCATAGAAAGAGCATTGACATACTGCTAAGGGCCACTGAGAAGGTTCAAACTGATTACGTCAATTCAGCTCCCAGTGCCTGGAACATGTTATAATGGCAGAACTATAAATGCAGTGGAACTTGGATCATGCCTTGTAGGCATTTTTTCAACCATGATTAAATTCTATATTCTCTTTTTATGCTTTGATAAATGTTTGGGACTCTTATATCAAGTGCATTCATCACTTATAGTCGCTGGACATTTTGTAGTCCTTGGTGCAGAGCCTAAGTTTCTCATTTGCAGGTGCAGGCTGAAAGCTTCACTTGCATCAAATGAATGCCGGCCATACAGCAATAAGCAATCAGAAATAGTGTTCCATGGTGCTGGAGAGTGTTGTCAGCCTGAGAATGATACAGAGAGCTCCTGCATGTTCAGCCTGTGTCTATAAAATGAGAGCCGGACCTCCTCCTGTAACACACCTTCATTGACCACAGCTCCAAAGACTGTGCTTGGATGGCTACAGCATTAGATCCTGTGCAGAAGTCAGGTGCCATGTGCTCTGCAAAGTGTGTAGTTGTCAACACCTGTCTTCATTAACTACTTGCGCTCTGGAAGATTTATCCCCCCCTTTATGACTAGGCCATTTTGTACTATACAGGGCTGAGCTACTTTAGCCACTTGCCAACCGCCTGTATACATACATGATTCTGCATTTTCATGTAGGGAGCGCATGCCCGCTGTCCTACCCGCACTGTCATTGGCTCCTGTAGGTGTCAATCACCGGGTCCTGGCCAGCCATTTATGGCCGGGACTCGGTGATTGGAGGAGCAGCTGACAGGAGAGAGATCTGTGAGCTTTCCTGTCAAAGGGGACTTGCTGGTTTTTATCTCTCTGCAAAGCCTCGCCTAGTAAAAAACAACACACTACACAGTTAAATCACTCCCTAACCCTTTGATCACCCCAGATGTTAAAAAGTATCATCAGTATAGTCAGTATATTTTATTAGCAACAGCAACAGAGCATGTATAATTCTTAAAGTGTTACTAAACCCACAACAGTAAAATCAGTCTGTATATGCAGTAAAGCATGCTTGTTATACTCACTGTGGAACCTAAGGGGTTAATCCTCTGCATTGTGTAAAAAGGCCATTTGATCCTGACTTTTGCTCCTCCTCTTGTTCAAATGTACACGTTTTATCTCCTGATAAGACAGACTGAACAGAGCCCTTCTGCACATGCTCAGTTTAGTATGTATTGCTAGAGAGGTTTTTTTTTTTTCTTGAGAGAGTGCATGTGATCAGCACAGGGCCAATCGGCACTGTCCAGAGAGAGGTCAGGGGTTTTGCATCCTCCTAGAGCAGAAAGAAAACTCCTACAAACCTTAACCAGTGCTCTGCTGGACACTGATAGAAGCCACACGACTGTTCTAACTGCTGATGAAAAAAGGTATTCAGCAGATTATATTTACTAAAATAATTTCACTTGCATGTTGTGTGTACTGTGGGAGACCAGATATAGTGAATGCAGGGTCCTGGGTTTAGTAACACTTTAAAGTTGACCTTCAGGTGTACTGGTGCCTCTCCTATACTGAAATAGTTTACTCTGATTTCACTGCACACTGTAAACTTTCATGATGTGCATTAGAAGGTGCAGCAGGTCAGAAAGAGCCTGCATCGTTTTCTGGTTGGAGGACATCCAGTATCATCTAGGCCTTTCCTCTACAGCTACACTGTCCCTGGCCTGCCCCTTTCATTTATTGGATTTAATTTCTTTCAATCATGGAGGCTCATTATCACATGTGGGTATTACCTAGAGCAGTCTCTATGCAAATACAGCCTGCCTAGGAAAATCCACTCCTCCAGATTAACACCCACCTATCAAAGGATTTTGATATTTGTATAACTCCTCTTAAAGTGGTTCTAAAGGTGCAAGGTTTTTTTTTTTTTTTTTTTTTAAGCTTAATGCATTCTATGCGTTAAGGTTAAAAACCTTCTGCGAACAGTCCCGCCCTCCTAATACTTACCTGAGCCTGATCTCGATCCAGCAATGTGCACGAGAGCAATGGCTCTCCTGGGTCTCTCTTTCCTCATTAGCTTAGATAAAGCAGTGGGAGCCATTGGCTGTCAATCACAGTCAGTGAACCAATGGGAAAAGAACGAGGGGCCGGGCCGAGACGCACTCTGTTTTAATGGATACACAGAGCGTGGCTCATGAGAGAGCTTGCGGCTTGCTATGGGGACACTCAGTTGGGGGGAGGGAGCCAGGAGTATAAGCTGGGGCACCTTAAAGAAGAGGATCAGGGCTCTGTACAAAACTATTGCAAAGAACAGGTAAGTATAACATGTTTGCTATTTTCTTTTTAAAAAATTTTCTTCCTTTAGATTCACTTTAGCGATTGCATCAGGGCTGAGGACTCTTGCGAGAAGTACTGAGGCCGTGTGATAAGATGTTTTCAGGTTATGTACAGCCTGCATTTCATAGAGAGGCACAGGGACCCAGTGATGACATTACTGGTTCTAAAAAAAAGGTATGCAATGAAAATAGAAATTTCCTTAACATGTTAATGAAGGGGAAATGAGCCAGTGAAGGCAAAATTTATATAATGTAAGCAGATTCAATTTTACCTTTAGCTCATGGGTTTAGTTACACTTAAAATGGACCTTCATCCTAAATGACATCTTGTTCTGCCCTGCCTCCTCCCCCCAAACTCTCTTACCAATGGACTATGTCTTTTACAATATGTATTTTTATTTTATTTCAGGTACTTATACAGCACTGTCAATTTACGTAGCGCTTTGCATACTGTATATATTGTACATTCACATCACTCCCTAACCCTCAAGGGGTGTACAATCTAAGGTCCCTAATTTACATCCATACATACACATATTAGGGGCCAATTTAGGCAGGATCCAATTAACCTACTAGCATGTCTTTGGTGTGTGGGAGGAAACTGGAATATGCGGAGGAAACCCACGCAGGCACAGGGAGAAGACATGCTGGTAGGTTAATTGGATCCTGTCTAAATTAGCCCTAGTATGTATGAATGTAAGTTAGGGACCTTAGATTGTACGCCCCTTGAAGGTTAGGGACTGATGTGAATGTACAATATATATGTAAAGTGCTGCATAAATTGACAGTGCTATATAAGTACCTGAAATAAATAAATAAAACATGCAAACTCCAGGCAGGTGGTGCCATGGTTGGGATTTGAACCAGCGACCCTAGTACTGCCAGGCAGAAGTGCTAACCATTTAGCCACTGTGCTCCCCATATTACATTTTATTTATGCTGCAAAGCAGTACTTCTGTTTTTCTCACCTAGGCAAGATGTTCTGCCCACCTCCTAAGCATGAACAGATGTGCCGCACGGCTCGGTTCCAGAAACAGCTCTGCAGCACATCTGCACATGTGATGGGCTTCTCTGCGCATGCTCAATATGGTGGTGCTAGAGGGGGGCAGGGACTGGCTAGAGCAGGACTGAAGTTCTGCTTTAAAATCAGTATTCACATTCACTCTAATGTATTTCTTCCCTCCCTCTTAGATTGTAAGCTCCCACGATCAGGCCCTCCTAGCCCTCTTGTATTGAATTGTATTGTTGCTGTATTGTCTCCCGTTATATTGTAAAGCGCTGAGCAAACTGTTGGTGCTATATAAATCCTGTATTATAATAATAATTTCTTCAAAATGGCATTATTTGGTCATAGTGTCCCAATTCTTTACCAAATACCGGATAAGCAGAGGCTCCCAATTTCTCTCCCTCCCACTCACCAGGTAATTTCTGTGCTCTCTGCATTGGAAACGTAGCAGGAAAGTGACTGCTATTTGCATCACAAACACTTTTGTTTAATACTATACTATTCTATATTTCTTTCTCCCATTCATAATGCCTGACTTTAAATTCTGCTTATTCATCACCTGCCACCTTGAGGTGTTCTCCCTCCTCTACAATGATTAACTAAGGAGGGCAGATGTCAGAGGGCTGACATGGAGCACTGCTGCTGTCACTTTTCCATTCTCGGTACATGCGGAGATGCTGGCAGGGTTGGCACTGCTGTGTGGGCGTCTTGTCAGCTCCTGATGGACGCCTCCTCCTCTCCCTCCAAGTGTTCAGCCAAAGGGAGGCTCTGCTGAGGGAAAGCTGGAATATTCACACAACTACCGCCACTGCTCGAAAGTCTATAGAAACACGTCAGTAAAATTGTACATAAGCTTTAACATGGTTATTCCAAAATTATTTGTATTATTTTTTTCATCTGCAGCTTTCATTAACCTGTTCCCGCCAGCCATCTGCATATATGCGCCCTCTCGGTAGGTAACACTGTGAACCCACATATATGTGTCCCAAATGTAGACATTTTCTGTGCTAAGAGTGTGTGTCCTGCGCAACCCCAGCACAGTTGCTTGCAGTGGTACAGGAAAGCTCCCAATGTCTATTTCTGATTGGAAGTGTGATGTGACTGATGCAGCGGCGGACTGACAACTCATGGGGCCCCCGGGCAATAGGGGATCATGGGGCCCCTGTGTCATTGCCCAAACTCAAAAAAGCCTATGAAAAAGGTAGCAGGGGCATCTCATGGGCCCCCCTACTGACCCCGGGCCCTCGGGCAGTGTCCTAGTTTCCAAATGGTCATTCCGCCCCTGGACTGATGTGACTGCCAAGTGCCAATCATAGCAGTCATATGATCAGAATGCCCGTCTCTGCCTCCCAGCATTTAGAACCTCTTAAATGGCTGGGAGGCGACAGCAGGAAGACGTTAAAATAATCCTGTTGTCACACAGACTTCCAATGGAGCCTACAGATGGTCATTTCATCACACATTACACAGGCATGGTCCACTATTGTCACCCTCAGAAAACCCACCCTGAGGAATGCCATTCAGCCATCGCTGGAGTTCACGTAGACAGAAAGAGTCTGCAGGAGATCAGCATCACTGAGATGTAACAAACATTGGAATTGTTTATGGTACACAGTGCTTTATCCACTTAGCAATCGCCCATCCACAACATACTGCGGATGCGTGGCCACTGTAGGCAAAGCGGCAGAGCAGTACGTTGCTGCCTATTTCCAGGTTTCGGGTGCACGCATGCGTACTCCCAGTTGTCACTCACTGGGATTGTGTATAAGTCACTGATCAACCCCATTAGTAGTATAAAAAAAAAATAATAAAAATTCCAGTATATATACCAGTGGTCTCCAAACTGCGGCCCGGGTGCCAGATGTGACCCTTTGCTTATCTTTATCTGGCCCTTGGGGCACTCGTCTTCCCTCTGATAAAAGGCACTATTCTCCCCACTGACACCAACTGTGGGCCATTTTTCCACCCATTGACACCAATTGGGGTGCTATTCCTCCCACCAATGATGGGGCACTATTCCTCCCACTGACACCAACACTGGGGCATTACTCCTTCCCCTAATACCATAGATGGGGTATTGTTTACTTCAACTGACACCAAGACATTTTCTACTTCCAGTGGCCACAGTCTGGCCCCCTTAAAGTCTGAAGGACAGAACACCGGCCCTTTGGTTAGAAAGTTTGGAGACTCTTGATATATACCATAGTTTGTGGGTGCTTTAACCTTCACTCAAACCAACACTTGTTGGGATTTTTTTTTATCAAAGACATGTAGCAGAATACATTTTGGGCAACATTTCTGAAGTATAGCTAGCATGTTCAGTAGGCAAAACACATCATGCGATATATAATTATAAGTGCAGCACTAATACCATATCATAAACATAAAATAATAAAACATAGTAAACAAACAACCCCAACAATAGTGGATTTGGAAAGGTGCAAATATACACAAATATATAAAATTTTAAGTTCATGCAAAATCCTCATAAATCTGCAGGTGCTGGTGCTTGGAAGGAAAACATAGACAGAAGTATCCTCCACCATCAACTCAATCACACAGCCTCTTACCAAAGGATTTGACCACCCAAAGGATTGGTAAAATATTGCAGTTTTCAGGCCCAATGGTAAACGATGGTAAATAGACTCCCAACTATGAATCATCAATCGGTCCTCTGTATGTGCAGCACATCTCCCGATTCCAATCTCATGTAAGCCAATGTCACGTACCTGATTGGAGACTGAAATGACAAGGTCGGCCTCACTTGTGTCACTAGCCCTGACCCCACTGGACGTGGAACAGAGGGTGTCTAGGGACAAGGGGGACAGATGTTGTTTGCAGCTCTTACAGCTGGAGACTTTGGAAGACTGATGAACCTTCGATTCAGGAACAGTAGTGATATGCAGAGCTGATATGGTAGATCACCAGGCGTGCACCAGAGCAAGGCAGGGAGCTGGGATGGGAGACAGGAGCAATGTCATAGGAATAGCCGGGATCATCAATGGGCGGACAGCGAGGTACCAAATCATAAGCAAGCCAAAGTCAGGAGTCATGCCTACTAAAGCTTGTTTTTCAGAATGAAGATGATGGTAAGCTTGCACTAACCGTGGAGCATGGACATTAGCAGATGGTTCCCAGGAATTATCCTCTGGGCCTTTGCCTTTCCATTTGATGAGGAACTGGGTCTGACCACCCCTCTTTCTACAGTCCAGGATGGCTTCTACTTCATATTCCTCATTACTTTCGACAAGCAGTGGAGCAGGAGATTCTGGACCTCAATCCGGAAATAGACTTGGGACTGTTAGTTTTAATAAAGAGACATGGAATACCGGATTTATCTTCATATTCTTTGGTAAAATGAATTCCAAAGCTACAGGATTAATCTTTCTTTTCATTGTAAAGGGTCCTAGGTACCTTGGACCAAGCTTCTTTGAAGGGCAGCTCAATTTCAAGTTTGTTGTGGATAGCCAAACCTTATCTCCTGGTTTCAGATTCAGATTCCCCCTTCTTTTTCTGTCAAAAACTTGTTATTTGTCTGAGCCTCAAAAATAGTTTCTCTTAACATTTGACCATTCCTATTGAGGAGATCCAGCCTTTCTTGTACCGCCGGGACAGCGGGTTCCCCCGGCATTTCAGGGAGGAAGGAAGGATGGTATCCATAGTTGGCATAAAATGGGGAATGTTTGGTAGCAGACTGGATGGAATTGTTATATGCAAATTCTGCCAATGGAAGGAGAGACACCCAGTCATCCTGTGAGTAAGATGAGAAACATCGTAAATATTGTTCAAGGGTCTGGTTTGTCCTCTCAGTTTGCCCATTCTTTTGTGGATGATACGCAGAAGAAAAGCGAAGTTCGATCTCTAGTGCCTCACACAGAGCTTTCCAGAACTTAGAGGTGAACTGCACTCCCTGATCGAATACGATATTGCTTGGAATACCATGCAACCTCACAATCTCTTTAATGAAAGCAGAAGCAGTCTCAGCAGCAGAAGGAGTCCCTCTCAGGGGTTATGAAATGGGCCATTTTTGACAGACGATCAACCACAACAAAGATGGTGGTGAACCCTTCAGATGGGGGAAGCACTACAATAATGTCCAGTGAAATCATACTCCATGGTTTTTCAGGTACTGGAAGGGATTCCAATAGGCCCCAGGTTTTGGCTCTATCAGACTTGTTTCGGAGGCATACCGAGCAAGATCTAACGTAATTTTTACAATCATTCATTAAGTTTGGCCACCAGAAGGAACGGGAGACCAAATTTGAGGTCTTGTGGAGCCCGAAGTGACCTGCTAAAGGATGCTCATGGCATCTTTTAAGAATGAGAGTCCTGAGTTGTTCTGGTATATAAATCTGTTCTTTATGCAGATACAGGCCGTCCCTTAGCTGAAGATGCATTTCCAAGGGGGTGGATGATCATCAACCGCTTCTTTTATTTGTGATACAAGGTTTGCTTGCAGAAGTAAAAAGCTTTTAGCTGGCATGATTGTGTCAGGCTCAGATGGTACTATTGGGTCATGATACATGCGTGAGAGCGCATCGGGTTTGCCGTTCTTTGATCCTGGACGGTATGTCAAGTGAAACACAAAGCGAGAGAAGAAAAGTGCCCATCTTGCCTGCCATGGCCTTAGGCGTTTTGCAGTTCCCAAATATTCCAGATTTTTGTGATCCGTAAAAATGAGGATAGGGTGTGAAGCACCCTCCAGCAAGTAGCGCCATTCCTCGAGGGCTGCCTTGATGGTTAACAGCTCCCCATCTCCTACATCATAGTTCCTTTCAGGGGAGCTTAAATTTCTAGAGAAGAAGGCAACAGGGTGAAGGAAGGACTTGAGTCCTTGTCGTTGAGACAATATAGCTCCAACAACATTATAGCTCCAAGAACATAAGCTAAAGCAGCATCTGGGTGCTTCAGGATAAGAGCAGAAGTGAATAAGGTCTTTAATTGTTCAAAAGCTGCTTGAGCCTCGGGAGTCCATTTGAAAGCAACATGTTGCCTAGTTAACTGCATGACTGGTGCAATGATACCGGAAAAGTTCTTAATGAATTTCCTATAGAAATTAGCAAATCCACGAAGCGCTGTACTACTTTCCTGTCTCCTGGGACGGGCCACTCTAATACAGAGGTCACTTTTTGAGGATCCAGAGCAATGTCATCGAGAGTAATCACAAGTCAGAGGAACTGAATGGTCTGTTTCTCAAATTCGCACTTTTCAGCTCTTGCATAGAGGTGATGTTGGCGTAACCTACCTAGTATCTTCTTCACGTGGTCCCGGTGTCTTTCTATTGAGCTTGAGAAGACTAGGATGTCACCCAAATAGACAATGATAAATAAATCAAGATAGTCCCAGAATATATCAGTAACAAAATGTTGGAATGTACTGTAAGGGTAAATTCGCCCAAAAGGGATCTCAGCACCGGGTAGGAATACAATAGGACAATCGTAGGGCAGGTGCGGGGGAAGAGCATTGGCACTCTTTTTGTTGAATACATCCAAGAAATCATGGTAGCCAGCAGGGACAAGTTTCATCATCTCTGAATCAGGATGGATGCTAAGAAGAGGAGTCACTGCGCATGGTTCCTTTGGAATGCAATGAGTCTGACAGTATTTGGAAGAAAAGAGGATCTCCCTGGAGAGCCAGTTGATGGATGGGTTGTGCGCCCTTAGCCAGGGCATGCCGAGGATGACCGGAAACATTGGTGAGGTTATGACATCCAGACATAGAAGTTCCTGATGTCCTGAGGATGAGTGGCAGAAGATTGGCATAGTCTCTTGCGTCACTGGGCCAGAACTGATACCAGAGCCATCAGCCAGATGAACCGAAAATCTTTGTTTCTTGGTACAGAGAGGGATATTGTATTGATTAGCAAAGGTAGAAGTCAGAGCCGGATCAAGTTGCTCACGAAGGTGGTGTGCCCAGGATTGGGGTTCATTCTGAAGGAGTGAAATAATGAATCCTAATTTGGTGCTTTGTGATGCAAAGGTTCTTGGTAGCAGAGAAAAATATAGCTCACAGGAGTTACGAAAGGTTCGGAACTTCCTGCGGTCTCCCGTGAAATACTCAGGTATTGGCACCCGGGGTTCCGATAGAGGAGAGAAGTTCCATGAATCATACTGAGCTCTGTCTAAGTAGTTATGTCTGAGACTGCAGAGGGACCCATGGCTGTTGAGACATCTGACTTGGTTGGTAGTTGGTTTTCCATATGCTCAAGGTTTCTTTGCAAACACTGCGCCATGTAAGACAAGGCAGAGATTGATTGACAGATGTCCCCCATTGCAGAGGCCTTCCTTTCAGACTCCATCACTGGCTGACTGGT